TGTCTGCAGCGCCTGGCAGAGCACATGGCACATAGTAGATGCCCAGAAAATATGTGCTGAAATCAGCGGACGAACCCTCTCTCAGGACAGTCTCTGACACAAATGAAGTCTGAAAAGTGCTCGACACGGTGACTTACGCTAACACAGTCTCTTCCTTGCTGAGGCGAGCGGTAAGGGCACTGAGTGCTTCTTGGGAAGCCAAGGGAAGGCCAAAGCCACTTAGGGCTGCCACTGCATGGTAGATCTGGGTAACGGATGAGTCTTCACTGACAGCTGCCAGAAGCAGATCTTTGGTCTCATTTGAAATAGAGATCTAAGAAAGGATTGGCAGACATAGAGTTTAGAACAGGTGCTGGTAGTTTGTGGCAAACAACACACAGAGAGACCGCCAAAGTCATACCACCCGGCTAGCACACGGTTGTCCCTCCTCAACTGCTCGGACACCAGAATTCAATGTCTGTAGGAACTCAGCATAACACTTGAAAAGATTCTGGCAAGTCACTTGTCTATTTGTATGGTTCTCCTATGTTCAATGAAACGGATTTCCAGAAATCTGGCATGGGGACATTCTTCTTTTACTCTGAACATTTTTAAAAGTTAAAGGGAGTTGGAGAGAAAAATCTAGGCTTCCCAGAAGAGAGGCAACTATAGGAAAAATTATTGAAAAGCCATGAAAAGTGAAAACTCGGAGAAAAAAATAAACTCCATTTCCTTAAGAAAAATAAAATCACAAGAATGGAATTCCCACCCACACTAATGGATCCTTATTGTTAAAAAAAAAAATTAATCTGACATGACCCTCCCCCTTTAAAAATACACATTACAGTGTAAAGCATATAGAAACTGGACTCACCTCACACCCTGAGAGGGCCTGGCTGGACTGCGCAGCATAGAAAAGGGAATCCACATTGCCTGGATCAAGGTTTGACTTAATGAAGGCGCACGCTTTCTAAATAGGAGGGAAAGTCAATGATAAGTGGCAATATACACAGTGACTGGGAAAGCATACATGTTTTTTGAGGACAAAATGCTAAACAATCTGTGATGGCTAAAAGTATGAACTATACAAGATTTTGTGTTTTAAGCAGGTATTTTCCATAGAACACTGTATTACCCAACACTGTAGACTTCATATCAAGAGCAACAAACCTAAAGTATTCTAGTCCTTCTGAAGCCTAAGAAAAAAGAAAAAAGAAAAAAAAAAAAAACATTTTCACTGATCACCTGCTGTGGCCATAACCTGTGCTGGGTGTTTATGATGCTCTTCCTTTTAATGAACATAAGGACCCTATGGTAGAGATTACCATTCCCATTTGACAGGAAAAGAAACTAAGCTTAGAGTTGGTAAGTCACCTGATGAAGGTGACAAAGCCACAAAATGGCAACGTCTCCACAGATTCTAACTGTACTGGGGTCTCCACTTAGATGTCTCCAAAGTTAAGTCAAGTTCAACACACCTAAAATGAGCTTGAAACCTTCTATTTCTTCACCTGGACCTTCCAGCTCATGTACAGGCACCACCACATACCCTACTACCTGAAGCAGAAACCTAGGAATCATTCTCGACTTTTCCGTTACCCTACAAGCCTGGTGACCCTATCTCCTTTCATTTTTCCAACCCAATCCCCATCCTCTGGCTTCCCTCATTGCCTTATTTCAGGTACTTGCCATTTGTCACCTAGTCTGTTTTAATCATCTCCTAACTGGCCTCAAGCCATGCAGTTCATTCTGCATACTGACTGCTTCAAGGGTGGTCTTCACAAAATACAAATGTAACCATGTTACTCTGCTATCAAAACCCTCGGGTGGTTCCACATTATCCTCAGAAAAAGAGCCGAAGTTTCTGATACAGCATAAAATGCCCCTGTGACTGGCACTTTCAGTGCCAGCTTTACCACCACACCACCTCCGACTCCAAAGTCTTACCCTCCAGCGTGCTGCAGCTACCCAGAGACACTATGATCTTGCCTTGGCATGTATGTGACCCTGCTACTACCCCGGCTGGGAGCACCCTTCCCTTGTCCCTCCAGTCTGCCCAACCAGGTCTTATCTTCATCTCTGTTCAGATGTCACCTCTTCCAGAAAGCATTTACGGACATTCATCCCAGGTTAGGCCAGGGCCTTCCCTCCCAAATGCTCCCCCAAAGTGCTTACCACACTGTACTAACTACCTCCCCCAGTGACCAGTTACTGAAGAGCAAAAACTTGGATGAACCCCAATCACAGTGTCTGCCACAAAGTAGGCACATAATAAAACTCATGCTATTCTCACTGTATCAAACCACAAGGAATACTATCTAATAGTTACATTGCTAAACATTTTGATGGAGGTAACATAAAATTCAGCTATTCAAAATTAAGTGGCAATAAAACCAGTTAAAAGTGGGTGCTTCTGAGGAGTAAGACAGGGTGTAGAACAAGGTGGGCCAGGTAATGGGTTGATGCTTTTCATTAACAGTTGTGCTGTATTATTGGATTTTTTCCTGTGTGTGTGTGTGCTACTTTAACCAAAAATCTATTTTTAAATTTTATGAAAGAAGTTAAATAAGAGTCTCAAAACAAATGGGTTTCAACCAGAAGTTTGAGAAGAAAAAAAACACACAAAGAAATACTTCACACTGCACAAATTAGGGATCTGAAAAAGAAAACAATCTACTCAAGGAATCCTTCAGGACAATGTGGGTAAACTTAAGACATGTACTTTATCGCCATCTGGTGCTTTAACAATAGAACAACAGCATCCAAGACCACCCCTCCCCCTCCACCCCCCAAGGATTATGGTCACTGCTACCACTTTTTGAGCACTTAAAATGTGTCAACATCGGGGCGCCTGGGTGGCGCAGTCGGTTAAGCATCCGACTTCAGCCAGGTCACGATCTCGCGGTCCGTGAGTTCGAGCCCCGCGTCGGGCTCTGGGCTGATGGCTCAGAGCCTGGAGCCTGTTTCCGATTCTGTGTCTCCCTCTCTCTGCCCCTCCCCCGTTCATGCTCTGTCTCTCTCTGTCCCAAAAATAATAAATAAACGTTTAAAAAAAAAAAAAAACTTAAAAAAAAATAAATAAAATGTGTCAACATTGTTCTAAGTGTTTTATGTGCATTTCTCCTTAAGTATTAGGTCCTCCTCTTATCTTAAGTTTACAGACAAGAAACCTGAGTCATCAGAGAGGCAAAGTGACTTGTCCAAGGTCACTCAGCTCTTAATGGAGGAGCTGGAATTCAAACCCAGGCAGCCTGGCTCCATAGTTTGAGCTACATACAACCTCTGTCTCTCAAGGTTTTTCATCTCTAGTGAAAAATTATTTATCCTGTAGGAAAACCAGCATTGTGCCAATTCCCTAATTCTTTGTACAGGCAAATGAAGGTAAACAGTCCCAGCAGTCAGTGGCTTTTAAGCTCCCAATGTGTACTAGGTTTTAACAGCAGCAGCAGCAGAAGTGCCAGAAGACCTCTGGAAACACACCCTGGACTCTTGGAAGACCACCCAATGCTGAGGCTTCAGCTGGCCACTTCCAAGGGTTTGTAACTCTGACTTGAGCTGTCCTCATCCTACATTCATTTTCCCAACTGAGGCCTGCAAATCGTCCCCTAAGTGTCCACTCCCTATCTGCTCCTCTCTAACCTTCTATGCCCTATATTAATACTCCCAATTATCTAAACATCCTCCTGAGCAAAGAACATCAGTGCTTTTCTCTACCCATTCTTCCCTACAACTCCCTGAACAGAATCAGGAGCCAAGAAAAGATAGCTAAATCTCTCTCATCTGCCCTTACCTCTCCCTTATTTTCACCATTAACATCTCCCAACTACTCTGAACTCCTCTCACACCACACTCTGTAATCTCGCCAGACTTCGTCACCGTGTTGTGATATAGAGGCATTCCAAGGCAAGAGCTCCCACACCAGGTCCTTTGTAACGGGGCCCACCTTTTCCTCTTAAAAAAAAATTATATGTGTGTGTGTGTGTGTGTGTGTGTGTGTGTGTGTGCGCATATATATAATACGTATATATTACACATATGTATATATACATACATGTATATATACATACATGTATATAATACATATACACACACATATATGTATGTGTGTATGTACATATATATTATTTATTTTGAGAGAGAGGGAGTGAGCATGAGCAGCGGAGGGAGAGAGAGAGGGAATGAGAGAACCTCAAGCAGGCTCCACACTGTCGGCACTGTCAACATGGAGCCTGCTGTGGAACTCGAACTCACAAACCATGAGATTATGACCTGGGCTGAAATCAAGAGTTGGACACTTAACTGACTGAGTCACTGAGGCGCCCCTTGGGCTCACCTTTTTCATACATACTTCTTACCACACTTCCCCCGCACCTCTGTTCTGGCTGTCCCGGACAACCGACTCACTGCTCCCAAAACACAAGCACTTTTAGGCCTCCAGATTAGTGTGAGCAGTTCTCTCCATCTGGAAGCCCATTCATCTCATTCAACTTGTCAGCTAAACTTCTCCCTCTCAATTGGTAACTCCTGACATATTAACAAAATTCAAGACTTCTTTTACTTTATTTTATTTTATTTTTTAAAGTTTATTTATTTACTTTGAGAGAGAGCAAGTGGGGCAGGGGGAGAGAGAGACAGACCCAAGCAGGCTCAGTACCACCAGTGCAGAGCCCGATGCAGGGCTCAAACCCACAAACTGAGAGATCATGACCTGAGC